AAAAAATGGTGGAGGGTTTTGAATAAATAGGCCCTAGAAAACAAAAAAAGTGGTAGGAAAAAAAATAAGTATAATGTTTCTAGGTTGAAATAAACATGAAAAATTGAATATAAGTTTTTATGCTTAAAAGGTTTCTTAACTAGGCCTACTTCTCAAAACAGTCTTATTCATGTTTTTACATGAATATATATGAGTAATATATGTTATATATAAGCAATGTATATTAGTTAATATCAGGGAAATTCAGAAATGTAGAGAGAATTCATGCAGATTGTTAATACTTTTGTATATTTAATTTTAATCTATAAATTTAAAAAATCACTATTATTCATTCAATATTTTATTAATAAACATTTCCCAATTTTTACATATTTCTGTTTGTTTTTGCCTAATTCTTAATCTTTTCAATTATGAAATTTAACACATACAGAAATACAGGTCTTACATTCAAGTTTTTAATCCATTTTGAGTTAATTTTTGTGTATGGTATAAATAATGGTCCAGATTCATTCTGGCTTTCCAGTTTTCCTAACTCTACTTATTGAAGATACTGTTTTTTTCCCCAATGTATACTTTGCTCTTTGATTGTAAATTAATTAGTCATATATGTGTGGGTTTATTTCTGGGCTCTCTATTCAGTTCCATTAATCTATGTATCTGTTTTTGATCTATGTGTTCATGTGCAAATACCATACTGTTTTAATTACTATAGCTGTGTAATATACTTTGAAATCAGAGAGGGTGATGTCTCCAGCTTTTTTCTAAGACTGCTTTAGCTATTCAGGGTCTTTGTTGCTTCATACAAAAATATATGCCCTTTCTCCACATCCTTGCCAAAAAGAGTTGTATCTTTTGTTGTTGATTTTAGCCATTCTGACAGGTGTGAGGTGATATCTCATTGTAGTTTTTATTTGTATTTCCCTGTTGATCAGTGAGGTTGAGCCTCTTTATTGATATATTCTATTGGATGTGATGGTCATCAGACCTTCTTTTACTTCTTTATTCATGGTTTCTTTGGTTCTATGAAGACATTTATAGTGATTTCTTTTAAATCTCTTTTTGTTAAATCTGACATCTGGTTCTTCCCACAGTTTCAATTGCCTGTATTTTTTTCTTAAATATGGGTCATATTTTTCTCTAGGTACTGATATCTCCTTCCTTTCTAAAACTTGTTATTGCTATTTACTTGTTCATTTGTTTAGTGATTACCTGGATTATTTTAGTGTGATTTATTTCCCCATAATGGGTTGAACTGTGTCAACTGTGACATGTTGAAGTCTTAATCCCCAGTACTTCAGATTGTGAAAATAGGGTTTTTGCAGACTTAAGCAAGTTAAGATGAGATCATTAGGGTAAGCCCTAATCCAGTATAACTGATGTCTTTATAAAAAGGGAAAATTTTGACACAGATGTACATAGAGGTAAGACATTATGAAAACACACGGGGAGAACACAATATGAAGACAGAGGATTGGAGTGATAGATCTACAAACCAAGAAATTTCTATGACTACCAGAGCTAGAAGGGAAACAGATCCGTTCTTATCGTATTCAGAGAGTGCATGTTCATGCTAACACGTTGATTTCAGATTTCTGTCCTCCAGAACTATGAGACAATGAATTTCTATTGTTTTAAGTCATATAGTTTGTGGTACTTTGCTAATGCAGCTGAAGGACTAGTATGCACCCCCCCAACCCCAACACTTACTCCCACACAATGTTAATTGTGCTTCTCAGGGACAAATAGCTTTGGGTATGCTCCAAACCATCCTGGAGTGACAAAGGTACTATTAGGGCTCTCTACTATACTTCTTTTTTTAAAGATTTATTTTTTATTTTTAGAGGAAGGGGAGAGGGACAAAGGGGGAAGGGAGGAGGGAGGGGGGGTTGAGAGAGAGAGAGAGAGAGAGAGAGAGAGAGAGAGAATATCAAGAAGGCTCCATGTTCAGCACAGAGCATGACACAGGGCTCAATTCCATGACCCTGGGGTCATAACCTGAGCCAAAATCAAGAGTCAAATTCCCAACAGACTGAGCCACCCAGGAGCCCCCTTTCTACTACTCTCACCCCGTCCACACTGAGCTGTTAAACTTCACTAACTGCCAGCTGACTGTTCTATTGTTTTCAATGCTTCAATGCCCTGGGGCACAAATTCTCTAATCCAATCAAATTGTGGCTGCTTTCAGGGACTATTCTCTGAGGTCAATGTTTGATATTGAAAATGCTCCTCCCAGTAGCCTTATTCTTTCTGCCTCTGAATTTGACTACTCTAGGTATCTCATATAAGAGGAATCACACAGTATCTTCCCCTTTGTTACTGGCTTATTTCAATTAACATAATATATTCAAGGATCATCTATACCCTAGCATGTGTTGGAATTTCATTTCTTTTTGAAGCTAAAAATTTTCCAGTGTGTGTGTGTGTGTTTGTGTGTGTATCAAATTTTGTTTACTCATCATCTGCTGATGGAGACTTGGGTTGCTTCCACCTTTTAGCTATTGTGAATAATGCTGCTATGAATATAGGTGTACAAGTATCTGTTCAAGCTTCAACTTTCAATTCGTTTGGATATAGACCAAGAAGTGGAATTACTGGATCATATGGTAATTCTATACATATATTTTTTATTTATTGGTATTTTTATTTTCTAATTTTTTGAGAGGGAGGGAGGAACTAGAAGGAGGAGAGAGAACATCTCAAGCAGACTCCAAACTCAGCACAGAGCCTGATATGGGCTCAATCCCACAACCTTGGGATCATGACCTAAGTTAAAATCAAGAGTCAGATGCTCAACCTACTGAGCTACCAGGTGCCCCTGATAGGTCTATTTTTAATTTTTTGAGGAATCACAACACTGTTTTCCATAGCAACTACACCATTACACATTTCTGTCAACAGTGCACAAAGTTTCCAAATTCTCAGTATATTCACCAACATTTGTTCTTTTCCATTTTTTTTTTTTTAGCCATTGTAATGAGCCTTAGGTGATACCTTATTGTGGTTTTGATCTGCAGTTTCCTAATGATTAGTGATGTTGAGCATTTTTTCAAGTGCTGTTGGCTATTTGTAGATCTTCTTTTGAAAAGTATCAAGTACTTTGTCTATTTTTTAATTGGGCCACTTATTTGTTTGTTGTTGAGTTGTAGGAGTCCTTTGTATATTCTGAATATTAACCCCTTATCAGATTTTCAAATATATTTTCCTCATCCCATAGGTTGCTTTTCATTGTGTTGTGTCCTATGATGCAAAGGTTTCTAATGTTTGATGTAGTTCATTATATCCATTTTTTTCTTTTGCTGTATATGCTTTTGGTATTCTATCTAAGAAATCATTGCCAAACCAGTGTCAAAAAGTTTTTCCCTATGCTTTCTTCTAAGAATTTTAGTGTTGTAGCTACAAGGGCTTGATACGTTTTGAGTTATTTTTGTATATGAGTCCTACATCATTCTTTTGCATGTAGATATCTAATTTTCCTAACATCTTTGTTGAAAAGACTGTCCTTTCCCCATTGCACAGAATTGGCATCCTTGCTGAAAGTCATTTGAACATATTTGTAAGGTCCTCTGTCGTTTTCTATTGGTTTATGTGTCTGTCTTTATGCTAGTACTACGCTACATTGATTACTACAGTTTCATAGTAAGTTTTGAAATCAGGAGGTGTGAGACCTCCAACTTTGTGGTTCTGTTTTAAGATTGTTTTGGCAATTCAGGGTCTCTTAATATTCCATACGAGTTTTAAAATAGATTTTTTATTTCCACAAAAAAATATCATTGAGGATTTGAGAGGGATTGCATTGAATCTGTATCTTGTTTTGGGTGGTATTAACATCTTAAGAAATATTCCAATGTATAAACAAGGGATGTTTTCCCATTTATCATCTCCTTTCATTTATTTCAGCAATTTTTGTAGTTATCAGTGTACATTTTTCACTTTCTTAGTTAAGTTTATTCCTAAGTATTTTTATTATTTTTGATATGCTGTAAATGGAAATCTTTTTTCTTAATTTTTTTGGATTATTCATTGCTAGTGTATAGACACACAACTAATTTTTGTGTGTTAATTTTCCATCCTACAACTTGCTGAATTTATTAGTTCTAAGTACTTTTTAAACAAAATGTTTATTTATTTATTTTGGGGCACCTGTGTGGCTCAGTTGGTTAAGTAACTGACTTGATTTCAGCCCTGGTCATGATCTGAGCCCCTGAGATGGGCTTTAACGTATCGTAATATTATATAATATGTATGTATTGTATATATGTATGTATAATATACACATAATACATATAATGTATATATAATAATATATCATTGTTATGGACTTAATGTTTGTATACACCCCAAATTTATATCGGTCTCCTAATCCCAATGTGATGGTATTGGAAGGTAGAACCTCTGAAAGGTAATTAGGTCATGAAGGTTGAGACCTCATGAATGGGATTAGTACCCTTCTGAAAAGAGGCCAGAACTAGCTAAATCACTTTCCACCATGTAAATACACTGAGAATATACTGAGGATAACTTGAAAATTTAGCAGTCTGCAACCTGGAAGAAGGTCCTCACTAGAACCCAACCATGCTGGCGTTCTAATCTTGGGCTTCCAGCCCCAGAACTGTGAGACATAAATTTCTTTGTTTATAAGCCATCCAGTCTATAATACTTTGTTATGACAGCCTGAGATAATATAGTACCCATTTGTTAAAATTATATAAGCTTATTTCCATTGTGTGGCTATTATAAGCAAAGCTGCTATAAACATTTGTGTATAGTTTTCATATAAACTGATACTTTCTTTTCTCTTGAGTAGATACCTAGATGTGGAATGGCTGGATGATATAGTAGGTATATATTTAGCATTGAATAAAGTGCCAAATGGTTTTTCATTTTTCATTCCTACTAGCAGTGTATGAGAATTGTTCCTCCACATACTTGCCCACATTCGGTATGATCAGTCTTTTAATTTTAGCTATTCTAATAGGTGTACAACAGTATCTCATAGTTTCAATCTGCATTTCCTAATGACTAATGCAGATTGTCATTTGATGTGCTCATTTGCTATCTGTATATGTACTTTGTTGAAGTATTTGCTCAAATGTTTTGTTCATTTTAAATATGAAGTTGTCTTAATATTGTTTTGAGAATTGTTTATATATTTTGGTTATAAGTACTTTATCAGATGTTTGCTTTATAAATATTTTTTCCCACTGTATGGTTTCTTTTTCCATCCTTTTAGCATTCTTTCAAAGATCAGAAGCTTTAATTTTAATAGAGTCCAATTTACCAATTTTATCTTTAATGGACTGTGTTTTTTCGGTCATATCTAAAAAAGTCATTGTCTAGCCCATTCAGATTTATATATTACATACTTTTCTGTATATATATTATACTTTGATTAAAAGTTTTAAAAATTCGGGGCGCCTGGGTGGCGCAGTGGGTTAAGCATCCGACTTCAACCAGGTCACGATCTCGCGGTCC